CATCACAGTGAATGAAGCGGTAAGCAACAAGTGAGGCAGCATGATTGACCTAAGCGTGTTCCACGGAGTGGTTAATAATCGTGGGTGTGATCTTTGCGGGTACCCTACACGACGGACAGGAGATCCGTCGCGCGGCGAGGAGGCAGAGACAAGACGGGACGAGTTGCAGCGCATGCTGTGCGATGTAGGGCCTACTGTAGCACAGAACGCGAAATCACAGCAGTACGCGGTGCGACTCGTCCGCTGACCCATTTGCGTCTCCGCCTCCATCCCGCCCGACGGTTCTCCTGCCGGGTAGTTTTTTGCGATGAGCGGGACATATGGAGCAGTGGACACGAGCTTGCAGCCAGGGTCAACCATCACGTTCGCCCTTTTTCGAAGATTTTGCGACCTTCTCTCCCTTTAGGGGGTCTTGATGCACCCCCACCATCACCATCAGTCTCAGGAGGCTCCCTCAATACAACCCCCCCTCCCTACCCCGACCACCACCTCACCATCATGGCTGTTCTATAGTATTTGATTCTGAGACCAGTCGACATAGCCCAAGCCCAACTCCGCCCACTTTTTCCTCCAAAGCGGTCGTCGAGCACGGGAGGGAAGGGGGGGGGGGAATTAGTTGCTACCATGCGGCAAAACTCATTTTGTCTACTTCATACTATTTTTCCAAAAGTTTCGTCCTCAAAAAACTCGTCTGGATGGCAATTCTTCAAGGACCTCCGTTCCCACTATGATAACCTTGCTCAACCCCAAAATGCGACCCCTTCCTTCCCAAAATCACAAATGCGACCCCTCGTTCGAATAGTGCGAAGGGACGGTTGACCCTGCTTGCAGCTGTGGAGAAGTTCTGCGAACGCGCAGAGCAAAGGTCTTGACTTTGAAATGACAAATGCCTTGATTTCTCCCATCAAATGCAGTCTTCCTGAAAATTCTGGAAATTTCACCCCCTTCCTTCCCCACCCCTATCTCAAACGAGAAAAACCTTTCTCTTTCACAAACACTTTCACCTTCCACATACAACAGCTCCTGCCCTGCTCAGATTGTCCGAGCGGAAGGTTGACAAAACACCATTTGCCAATCTTAGCGGTTTGTATTAAATTTGGTTGAGTGAAGTCCTTTCGGACACCTTTCTAGATGTCAGACGTGAAGCCTAGAAGCCAAAGGCATGGCGCGAACAGGAAGATTGCATGTAACTTCGTGAACGACAATGAAGAAAAACGAAAATAAAAAAGAAAATGAAAAATGAAAATAAAAACAAAAATGGAAAATGAACAGAAACGTATTGCATGGCGTGTTCCAGTCTTGCATTTTCGCTAGTTTCAAATGTAATCGTTAAGTTTCAGTCAAAATTATGCCGAAATCGGAAAAAAATCGTAAAATTCCATTCATCACTGAAATCGCGATAAATCACACTTCCTTTACACTAGCGCGGCTTTTGAGCGCAGCGTAGGAGGAGGCCATTTGATGGGTGTTTTTTTTTCAAAAATAAAGCACATCTGCAGTGCTGTCGCCCATGCATTTACCGGCTTCCCTGGTCGATTTTAACGGCAAATCAATAAATCGATATTTTCAGAAAAATTCGATGCATGCAGACTCACGGCGTCTTGAACTGTCGAACGGTAAAGAGGCAAAGGTGGAGGAGAAATGCGAACGATACCAGGGCGACATTAAAGGCTTTCGACCGGTCGAAATCACTCAAAACAATCAGAAACTGCAGCTCGACCCAATAACGCACAGGTAGGCCAAACTTCAACGCTCTCTGCGCCCAAAGGCTGTTTGCGGTTTAAGATGCCAAGCGCCTCACACTGTGGTATCGCAGGATGGGGGGGGGCTCCTCGCTCCTGCAGTGCGTGTTAGAATCGCGTTAAAACTAACTTTTTTCTGAAATCGGAAATTGTACGCCCTATGGCCTGTACAAATGAACTCCAGTTTCGTAACGATTTTCATTTCCCCTTGAGACCGGCCCCTCCTGGGCTCTTACAAATCCTACCGTGGCTACTCTTAGCTCGGGATACCCCAGCATCTTGCGTTGACGCCTAACAGGTTCCGTTCGTTGAAGATCCATATGTTTTCTGCTCGGGACCATTGAACACCTATGGCTACGGTATTTGACACAAACATTGTTTGATTTGCTAACACGTGAATGCTTTCCAACACAGCCGTCATATAAAACTCGTAATCGTCTATTTGATTTATTATAGGCGATTTGGAATACTGCCAAGTACTTTGGTTTTCTGTTGAGGATGTGGAGGAAGGGGACTAAAAGCAATAAGCGGGAAAATCGTATAACTGGTAACGATTGACCCTTACTTTTCAAGTGTGCGCCAACGCACTCTATTCTGACTGGTGATGCTATTGCATATGGGGATATATTTGGCCAGAACAAACACAGAGTTGTGGATCATCCCAACCTGCCTCCCCTCCCTTTCTTCTTTCTCCTTTCCCATACTGAGCAAGCTACCTGGCCAACAAGGTACCTGCCCCCCCCCCTCGCTTATTAGTAGTGATTTGATTACCTTAAGGCAGGATCGGAATCAATGCACTCTTTAGATAAGATGAAACCCACATAGCTACAAAGCTAAGCTGTCTCGCCCTTCAAATAATAAATGTGGCTTATGATGCCTCAGCATCTCAAGGTTATTTTAGGATATGGCGATCTCTTTGCGTGTCTTGCCAATTGGCCAGAGACTTATGAATTATGCTGTTCAAAGGAGAAGGACAATTTGGGGGTTTTATAAAAGCTTCAGTTGTAAAGAAACCTAGTCTATTGAGAATCCCACCATGTTTATATGCCAAATTTTTCAGTGAAAATGTCCCGGATCTGTTCGCCCATATGCGTTCACAATCATCGTTGATTCCTGCATCCACAACGGAGGTGATTACAAATCCTGATGGCAGTACGACGACACGAGTACGAAGCAGTAAAAGTTACAGGTTAGTTGGGATTCATCGTCATCAACCCGTCCCATTTTATTTCGTTTGATATCCTCTCTTTAATACCAACAGGGTGAGTTCGAATAGATTAGTGCCTTACGACAGTAGTAGGTTAGCCAGGAATCACAGAGATTGTGTCGCTCCGGTTCAAAACTGCGCAGTTATTGGCATTAGGACCGCGTTGATTGGTAGCAAGTGGTGGCAATGCTGCAGTGTAGTTGGCGGAGTGTCTGCGTCTCGCACAGCCGCCATGGTCTCTGGTCTGCTATATCATCTCAGCATTCATGTATCTTCAAAGCAGCACAGTGAGACAAAGAAGTCTCAGTGTTTTTGATGGCTTCTTATGCCTGTTTCTTCATCGAGGATTCCCCCTCCCTCCCCCCCCTCGCGCCTCCAATTTATTGTTAAAGGCAAGCCTAACAAACAAAATAGGTGTGGAAGAGCGTTCAATAAAAGCTAGGTGTGGGAATTGGTCACGGAAAAGAAGAAGCAAACAAGTGAAACCCCCGATTATGCCCCAAATAAGCACCCTCTTTTTCAAGCCGCATTCACCTGTTACGAGAAGGTGCGTGCTGAACGAGTTTCACGAACCTGACTCTCGCTGCTCCAGTACTAATGACATGAGCGCAATGGGACCGCTGCCTCGCAATTGCGCCCGCGCTTTTCAAGCAGCGTCCACGTGGCACAACCGACAGCGGGAGGCGGGGCTTGCGGACGAAGGAGTGGATTGCGGGCCGGACGAGCTTCCAGCGCCTTTGTCGCGCTTTTTCAAGCCGCAAAAGGGGCGTGACATCAACTCTTGCCCTATGCTCGGGTATGGAACAGGTGAGCGTGTCTAATCCCGGAGCGTGCCTTTAAGCGAAATAACACGTGTCTCCTCAATTTGATCTCAAATACGGGAAATTTTGGTGACAGGCAACGGCAGAATTAGCTTGCATTCTCCCGAACCAGCTCATCTTTCGGCAGTGGTGATGCCGACGCCTTTTAGTAGCTTAGTCTTGGATGAACGTCGGCTTCATGGAGATGTTCACCTCCCACCGGGTTATCCATAACACTAGTGGGACTGCTGTTTTTCGCTCTGTTTCCAATGACATTTTCTTCAGAGCTCGTCATTTATTACACATATATGCTATGGAAACTATTCTAATTCTGCAGTAAAACGCTGAGGGTAAGCTGTCTGGTGGATAAACATGACTAGGCCCTAAAAAGTGCCGTGCGACGTCACATGCGGGAAGGAGAACCAAGATTTATTCGAGTAGCTGGATCGCGTTTTTTTTTCAGATCCCTACGCGTTGTACATTAGGATCTGAAATGCCCAATAACCTTGGTTTTTAGTAGGCAAACAATGGGTAGTTAAACATAAAACGGGCTCAGGGCCGCTGAAAGCAGTAGCTTCCCACATTCGATACTTTCGTTTTAGTGCTCCATCTAAAAAAACAAAGCGAGCGAGCAAAAACAAATAGTTACTACTGTACCTCCATGAAGTCATGTTGCATCGAGTAAAAGTGCTTCTGATTGATAGAGACTTGTGTGGTCTTCAAAAGGCATGATCCACGATTGGCTAGCTTCCTTTGGTAGGTAGGGGTAGGGTAGTGCGCCCTCTACGGCTCAGAGATGCATCGAGCATCAAAACCTCTTGCCGCATGCTAATAATGGCTGAAAAGGTCGGCCATGAGCGTGACTAGACAGTGATGTAGACCCCCCCCCCGCTTTTGCAGCTTAACTTATAACGGTGGAATAATTGAAAAGCTCAACGAATTTACCGAGGCAATCGTTTTGTGAGCTTTGTTGAAACTATTCCAACTACTTATGAATACATTTCATGGTAACAACCACAAAGCATGACGCTGATCAATTCCGGGATGCGCCCACCATTGTACAGCTAATCTGGATCGTAGTGGTATTTGAATCGCCGATTCGCCCTCACAGTTGTCTAGGATCTGCCTATTGCAGATTGATGTCCTTCTCTGCAGACTGTCGACACCAAGCACCTTCTTGCGAAAGGTCTGGTGTCTAGAAGAAATCCTATCCAAAATTCGCATCGCCGACCGGCAACGCGTGCAGTGGTGGCCCATAAGAAGCACTCTGCACCTGAGCCGGTACCCGTCTGCCTCCCATACATATTAATGACCGCTGATGTGGCGTTTCGCAAGGGTGGTCTACAGCAAAGGTCGCATTCCCACGCGAGGGATCAGGGGTAAACCGGTATGCAGTCGTGCTAGGCCTACTTAGCCTTGATATCTTCCCTGCGTCGTCTAATTGTACGGCAGATTCGACTCCGCGAAGATGAAAACATTCAATGGCCAGGATTGCCGAGTGGCAAATCATACCATGTAATAATAAGTCCAAGGTTCGCATTTCAATGCTACTGTGCGTGCGCTTTACAATAGAATTTCGAAATTAGAAATTTCAATGAAAATTTTAAAAAAAAGAATTTTTTCGAGAAGAATTGGTAAACCCCGAATGCATCCCACACCGCTCTCCTGCAGCTGAGCGTCAAGGCTCCATGCCCTAAATTCATCTGTGTTGACCCAGCTTATGTTATGAATCGCGTTGACCAGATGACCACATCGCCGGTTTACCCGGACCGAGTGGTACCGCGTTGAAACGGAAGGCTGGTGTCCGGCAAACGGTGTCGGAAATCTAAAAACAAGGTTGATTTATGCGTTGGCCGTCAGCTGGCGATTGGCTTGCGTCCACTAGTGAACGGCGTGAAAAATGTCAGCGATTCTTCGCCCGCCTTCTTCAATCACGACTTGCTCGCGATGCTAACTGCCAGTGATCTGCTGTTTCGATGGCTCCACGAGCTTCACGTGGCCTTGATTCGATTTCTTGGGTAAGCTTATACGACAAGAAGAAGGATTAATTTATTGCTAGTTCAAGGTGCAAACAAATCGCTCCTGTGTTCCCTAGTGGAAGTTTTGACCCAGGGCTATCAGTAAGTGCCATAGAATGAATGGATTTGGGGTTGTGTCTTCGACTGCGATCTGAATAAGGAGCAACGTCGAGTTCCTACCTCCATCTTTTATTTTCCTTTGTTCTCAAATTTTCTCTCCCTTTCTCTACCCCCTTCCCCTCCCCCTCCCGCCCCCATTTCCAAGAAACTTAGAAAAACCATGGCAACAATTCCTTGCAGCTGACCCGGACCTTACGAAAGCCGTCTCAGTCATGGCTGGGGCAGGTTGTGCTTCGACTTTAGGCAGGCATACCAAAGCGTGGGTCCCCTTATTCCACGGTTTTTTTTTTCAATTCCAGCTATGAGGAATTGGCTCGTCCGTTTATCCTCACCCTGACCTGACCCTCTCCTTCTCCTCCTCTACAACTCTATGTGTGATGCTCGCAGTGTTGCTGTGAATCTTCAAGCCTTTTGGTGGACCTCTTCTTTTTCCCGATGTTGTCCAAAGAAGAAAACAGCAGCAGCCTGACCGGGGAAATGAATGTGGTTGATTAGAAATTCGTCCCACGTGAAATTTGCCTGATTTTCACGAAATTCCCCACTTCCTCTAAATTTCCTGCACCCCACGCCATGGTTTTGTTTCGCTGCACGCGATTGTGGCGCAGGTGATTTTGGCCGCAAAGCGTTTTTCACGTTGTTCCGCCACATTCGAGACACCCGCGCTTTGCATAATCCTTTATGATTTTGACTCCTCAATGTTTTCACATGACGCGTTGACATCGATTTTCTCAACGATCCTATTCTTTTGTGATTCGATCGATTTCGGTCATTTCTATAGATATCTTTCTACAGATCTTCCCCATGTGTGAGCGTGTCTTACAAGAACCATGAAGGTCCCTTACCCATGATGTTTTCTCGGAGCATTTTGACATTCTGGCCCTCTCTGGTGTCTCTCCTACTTCTCTGGAAATGACAGCATTCACGGCGAAAAATGTGCAGCTCAGAAGCCTAAATAATTTCTTCTGAAAGTAAGCAACTGTTTGGGATACGTTCGCGCATAGAACGCTCCATTTTGGTTCGACATCTCCAGTCTTCCACTATATGCAATCGAAAAACTTCTTATGGCGTGGTCTAGCTTCGCTGTGTCTGAATTTCCAGTTGGCTCGGTACATCCTCCAAGGCGAAGACAGGCGAGACCACAAAGGTTGAAAAGCGGTGGCTTTGAGTAAATCCACCTGGTGGTGTATTCGACAGTCACAAGTGCTCGAAAATCGAACCAGAACGGTAGTTTTCCATGTCCCCACAATTCTTGTGGGTAATCTGTAAACAATTTTGCACGTATCATTCTCTGCTTTGACGACTACTAACCGATGCATTGAGCTCAGTCCGTTTTTTAACCGAAGTTCCAGTTTGGGTCTAGAACAGTAACAGCGTTAATTGTCTCATTTTGGGATGCGCCACGCATTCTGCTTCCATTCAGAATCGCGATACCAGTAGAAGGCGATCTGAATATGCGATAGTTTTCGGTCCCTTTCGATCTGCCAGTCGATGTCCTCCCAGATGAGTCTGGTAGAAGTTAACCAGCCTATGAAGGAAAGCTGGGTTGAACTGAGCAGGGTTTTATCTCGTGATCGACTGATCATGCGCTAAACTATGCCGTTGTATCTAGACACCTTCGCTCGGTTTTGGAGTCAGAATACATTACAGTTCACTTAGGAATGGAGGTGTTGCTAGGAAATATTTTCTCTCTTATTCTTTTATTTTTTTGCATGTCCCATTGCGTCTCAGCAATCAATCACTTTTCAGTTCACACTTCTCCAAACATGAGACGTTCATCAATGGCGTGAAGCAGATGTCGAAAAGCACTTTCAAGGCATTCGTCGAGTACAAAGTAACTTTCTATGTTGTTTTTTGTTTACAAATAAACCTCAAAGGTGCACTCCACGCGTCATATGGGGGAGGTCAGATAGGCATTGTATTTTTTATCCTCTTGCGTTTCTTGAACATTCCCCGAAAAACGCTCTCGAATGACGGTACAATGTTCCAAGTGAATTCGCCCACACGACTGCTGGGGAATGTGCTTTCCTGTGCAGTTTTTTTTTTTAAATTAAAAAAATATTTTCAAGGGTTTCTGTTGGAGTCTCAGTTTGTCATCTAAATTTAAAAATGTAGTAGTTTTTACAATGTATGGCTTGGCTAGTTGACTCGGCCAGGCGGGGCTCGGACTAGCATCCCCTTAGAACATATCATGGCCCGATGAAATCCCTGTTCAAGAGTTCTGTTCCTAGCGCTCGGATTCGCAATTCATTATGTTTATTCCAAACTCAAATTTTCTCGACTTAGTCATGGGGGGGGGAGGGTTAGAAGGGAAGAGTGATTACAAAGAAGTTTGAAAAGTTGAAATCAAGAATGGTATGGGAAAATAGTGGCGGCCGCTACTCCCTGCGCTGAGAGTAGCGGCAAACTTTTGCCACTACATCACTTTGCTTTGCATAACTCGCTTTTGCGCTCACTCCCGGGTCAATCGCTCTGGTAAACGCTCCTCCTATTGCATCGTTCCACACGCTATTTTATTCTGATTTCCTGATTTTTTTTCGTAAATTTTTTGATTTCAAAACTTGATTTTTCGCTGAAAACCTAAGCGAGTGGCAAGACAGCGCACATACGTACATAGCTATTTGACTGTTCTGCAAAAAAGCGACTGAATTGTGACAATCGGTTTTCGATTGAAACCTCATGCAACAGTGTTTCCTTACCCATCTAAATTGAAATCACTTCGCTGAGTTTTTACTCCAAAAGCGCCATGAACCATGTACCCAATTTGGAAACCTGCAAACAAATCGGTCGCAAAATTCACGACACTGCCTTCGAGATAAATCAATAATTTTGAGAGGCGTTTTGTTGAGCAACCAACACATTGTACCGCTTAAGGGACCAGAAGGAGGATATCGTGTCAAACTGGCAGATAACGCTGACGATTTGTCCGAAGAGGAGACGGAAGATGATGATCGCGCTAGCAGGTTGGTGCTAATCAGAGAAAAATTTCTCCAAAATAAATTTCTATTCGTTTTTTGTTCAAAAATTGATTTGCATGTATAGATGCAGCAAGATGTCATTTTCCCTGTGGATTACCAATCGATCAAACCGGTCTGACGGGTACCGCCAGGAGGCCCGTCGCGCGGCAAGAAGGCAAAGTCAGCGGACGAGTCGCGCGCGTACTATAGGGATTCCGCGTCAAGTTGAATGAGTGTCCACTGCACGTTCCACATCGCACACCACGCGCTGCAACTCGTCCGCCGACTCTGCCTTCTTTGCGGCGCTGGCGGCAGCCTGTCGGGCACCGTATCTGACGCATTTGTTGCGGTGAAGGAATTGTGGTGGGGGGGAGTAGTAAGCGGCGCGCTATTTGCATCAAATGGTAACTGTCCAACTGCTAATCGAATCTTGTTTTTCAACGTTTAATCAAGCAAACTGCGACTGAGCGGAAAAAAATCTTGGAGAGGAGCCTCGCCTATAGAGAGATGGTGTGCCGTCCATTTAGGGTGATGACGTTTAGGTGATGAGGCAAGGCAGCTGAAAATCGCAAATTGGAGTTGCGAGTAGTAGTACCAATGGAACTATCCCAGTGAGGAGACGTAGACGAGCAGAGCAGGATTAACACATTTTGTCGGCATTTGATTTTCGATGTATTTTGTGAAAAATGTCATCAGAAAAATTGCTCATAGAACAGTAACCTACAGTAGGCACAGCTTCTGATACACTCTACATTAGGTGGGCTTAACGGGACTCGCTTTATCTGATTTCATGTTCATTCATTGTTTGTTCAATTCTTGATTATTGATTGATTGGTTATCATATTGATTCGTTAACCTGAAATGCATAATCAAGGCCTAACGCGTGGGGTTGCGGATCGGTTGATTAAGCATCGGGCTTTTCACTTCATGAACTTAACTAATTTTGTAGAAGATATCCAAAGAAAATCTGGTACATGGATTGAGCGCTTTACCGCAGCGCTTTACAGTAGCATAATTGTCGAATTTGCTATATTTTACTATTTATTTATTAAATGTATGTAATAGCAGCTCTCAAACGACTTGGTTACTATCGCACTACATACTGGTTTCAGGTGCTACTCGGAAATTACCGACAGCCGACAGCGAAAGTGACATCCAACCGTACGCAGCTCAATCAAAACAACAGGCTGAAGCGAAGAAACGTTACGACAAGGTGACCAGGCTTGAGTTAGTCCCATTAAGCTTGAAAAAAGTCGATCTAATTTTAGGCCTGGTTTGCTGCCAAGGAGCTGGTAGATAGTGAACAGCGCTATGTGGAGAAACTGCGGCTACTAGACGAGGTTAGTGAACGGAATCTACATATTGGTTCAATTCAGCCGCTGGCATGGGAATTTTTCAGATATTCCGTCAGCGAGTAGTCAAAGAAGCCGCGATCGATAAGGAGAAACAACAAAAATTGTTCGCAAACATCTCCAGCCTTCATCAATTCCACAATACACATTTTCTTCCACAGCTTATGGAAGCAAGTCGTGATTGGCATACTACCAAGAGGTACGGTAGTACGGATTTTGTGCATCCTTATTACGGACGATTGAAGAAACAGTCACCTATCCCTCTGAAACGCGTATGGTCTACATGTAAGGGTAAGGCTCACGGTCATTTTTCGTGCTTCTGATCTATTAACGTCCAAAAAAATTAAACGAAGGTTCATTATCAAGGATGGTTGCCTTCGAGAAAAAAGCGCCTCTAGTCAGTTGGTAAGCAGCGTCGTTCTCGTTTCTTCAAACTCACAGGATGGCATCCTGCCCGGACGGGCTATGCCTTCTATCAACTGAAAACTGCGGTTGGATGGAATTTTTGAGAACGGGAGCACTGCGTTGAGGATCAACTGCTAAGGCAGAATTGTCGTATTTGCCATTACGAATTTCATCCAAGGTATGAGGATCTTGAAAAGAGGAGACCGCATGGCTCATTCCCAGCGATAATAGTCCTTACCTTGGTTCTACATCCTGAGAAGCTTTTTTGAGTTCAGTTAAAAGAACTGGACCCACATGTTGTCATTCTTGACTTATCCGCGGTGAGGTTTTACACCAACGTTGTTCGATCCTAAAGAAATCTGAGCGTTTAATTCAGAATTTGATTTTTTGCCCGTGCCGATGACCTCAGCGATATCCACGTCCACCCTCCGCGCTTCCGTTCCTTAGAGACCTGCTCGAAAGGGTCAATAATGTTTCCATTTGTCTCTGCAGCATGCCAAAGTAGCCCACTGGGACTATCCTTGTCGAAAGACACGAAGTGCCTCATAAATTTTGCTACTTTCAACAAAAAAATGTTGCTACTGAGGTCTCATGTTGTCTTGACTTCTTCAACGATCTCACAGGATTACCGACACTATTTACCCTTTACTGCCCCACTCCCCAAAACTGAGCCGGATTTTAATAGAAATTTGTCCATGGATAAGGAGAGGTATTCGATGCAGAACCGAACATACACACCAGTGCACGCGCGAAAACGCATGCACCCGCGCCCAGGCGCTTGCATACCAGTTCTTTAAAGGCACGAGTCAGGCTTGATGGACCAAACCAATCCCTTTTGTCGTCTTTGTGCATGGCTGCGCACCCACAGAGACGTTACCATGCTCAGAATCCCAAACGGCGCCGTAATAAGGCTCCAGGGCACGTATTAAGCGCTTTCGCCGCCTGGCGGCGCTCCGACCGCCCACCTCCGGACGTGGTGCGTGGCTGGCATAACGTGTGAAATCAGCTAGGTTGATTGCCGTATCAACCGATAGAGAACGACTGAGAACTTGTTTGTACGTGCCTCTTCCCAAGCCAGCCTCCTTCACTGCTAGTGGGAAAGAGGGTTTTGTTAACGGCCTTGTCGACGGTTTTTCTCAGTTTTTTCTCCACTGTCGTTCCACTTCGCATCTCTATACTCAGTTTCAATCGCCATAATACCCCCTTATTGAGCCCGACTTTTGCCTTTAACGCGGGATCTCTCTACACGAAGCTGAAGCGCAATTTCACGTTCTATCGATACAAACCACTCTCTTACGGACAGGTGTTTCAACGAAATTGTGTGTGATCCAAGGTGATTATGGTGCCTTGATGCCGAAACTAGTGGCGCAGAATGCTGATTTATTCGTGATTCTACGGTGATCTAATGCGCTCGGAGGCAAATTTCATGGCAATATGCTCAGCACATGGAAAAATTCGGATGGAAAATTCCTGCTCCAGTTTTCGCGGGGTGGCAGTAACGAGGTTAGAAATGTTCATATAACCTTATTGGCGCCTTGAGATCGGATGTACCGAACACCTGTTTCCGTGAGCAGGTCCTTTGATGCGCATTCTCGGCTAGCTTGCTACAGCTGAAGCTTCTGAACGCGATGGTTTCGCCTTGTGTGAGTGGACCTTCAGGGATTGAAAGCATGCCTGGGCCTCTGAAGGCTCTTGCACACGAAGCGGAAGTATTGGTTATAGGCCGGAGTCAAAAAAAATCAAAAGGTTCCGTCAGAAATGCTGATTTTAAAGGTTTGCTAACCATCGTGATGCTGAAGAATGAGAGACTTGCGCCCCAGAGAGGTTATGAGGCAACTAAGAGTCGCAACGGATGAGTAAGTTCCGCCAGACAAAAGAGCCTGCTGTCAGACGTGTAAAAGCTGTGAAGCGTTTCTAAGCGGATTTGCAAGTCCCAGCGCCCGCGGGCGACTTCGTTGCAATGAAGTGTCCAACATCTGGGGGTCTGTTTAGGGTAACCTTACAGAACCGAAGAAGAAGACGTTTTATCGACCATCCGTTGGGCATGTTGCCTATATAATTTTCTGGCTGAATGGGGAAATTGACAAAAGGAGTTTGATAACGATGGCGCATTCGCGTTGATCAAATTCCTAAATTCCCTTTTATGCAAGACGGGCCACCCAATGCCGCTTCTACTTTGGAGAGAAGTAGAAGCACTTGAATGCGAATTTTTGCGCCCCACTTCCGAATTGAGGTGCTATTGGCCTTCCACCTTGCGAAGTTCAAAGTTTCCTCCTTTTATAGAAAGATTTGACCCTGGACCGTGACTCACATTTCCAGTCCGCTACCTCAGTCATTGGTCACAAGTTAGCTAGCACTTCGTCTATCTTGAATTCGATTTCAGGATAGCGAATGTGGTCCGTAAGCAGGCACCTTTCCTGAAAATGTACTCCGAATACACTAACAACTATGAACGAGCGTCACGAATTTTCGAGGAATTGATAAAAGAAGAAGAAGTTCGCCGATGTGGTACGGAGATTGAAGTACGTTGGGACAATATTAGACAATATTTATTTTTACTACTATTTTTATTTCATATCCACTTGATCACTGCTAGGCTTCTGGAAAATCAAAGAATTTTCTAGAAAGTTCCCGAATGTGAAGGCCTCCCTCTCGCTCATCATTTGATCTGCCCTGTACAAAGGGTCATGCGATACCAATTGCTATTACAGGTTTGGAATTGGTTCTCTTATGCAAACGAGCTGGAGAATCCTCAAGATATCCTTTTGATTTAGGAGTATAAGAAACACCTACTCGAAACAGATGTTGACTACGAGGACACTGCTTTGGCTCTTCAACTCGTTCTTCAAGCCGCATCTCATGCCAATGAGATGATGAAGAAGCTGGTCAGTTCGAAGGCTCATTTCTATATCCTCAGTGGTTTCGTATCCATGGGACTAAAGTACCTAGAGTTGAGCATGGCGCACCATAGATTAGGAGCTTTCAAATGGCCTAGGATAGGATAAATTGTGTGGATATTCAATCGTAGACTTTCCAAGGTACCTACAAAAACTAGACCTGTCAGTCGAACAGTGGCTCCCCACGATTGGGCCCAAACCATCTGCGGTGGCTCATAGGGTTGATATAGCCATGTTTGAAATTGGCCAAAACAGTCCTTGAAATCTCGATAATCACGCATGCTTTTAGGACGGCTTTGGAAAAGTGATTGAAGGTACAAGAGCAGCTAGGAACTCGATATCATTGGTGTCACCTGGACGAGAGTTGCTCAAAACCGGCGCGCTACAGGTAACGATATGCTTTTACTCCGTGGATTATAACTGCATTTCTCAAGAGCTCACTAAAGTTCAGGATAAAAAACAACTCACTAATATTCAATCATATTTCAAAATACATTGCGAACAACAATGTATTTTCATCTACCATTTCACTACTTACTCAACTCCAGCATAGCTTTCTTTATCCGCTAGACTAGATCCTCTTGATGTTTGTCGTACTCCAAGGCCCACTCTAATGATACCGGGGGGGGCCCAACTTTTACCTAATATTGAAACCTCGCGCCTTGTGCGGGTCCATGCGTTATTTTTTTCGTAATTTCGTGGTTTGTGCCAGTACCGTGCCTTTAAGTTCCGGGACGCGGTCATGTCGAGTGCAAAGTATATGGCGCTCTCTCCGATATACAAATATTTAATACTGATTCCATCAGTCAGCCCCTGGTTCCATTGAACGAGGTGGACCTGACTGCGGCTAGAATATCGATCGATTTGAGAAAAAACCTTATGTAGCATCTGGTCCATAAATATAATTTTTGCATTTACAAACGCTAGATCTATTGAAGAAAAAGCGCAAACAATCAATGAGCTATTCTTTTTTGCCCTACGGTTCTACTAATTGTAAGTGGTCCTATTTTTCAGAAAATTTCATCGACCACCGAGAAAACCGAGGAACGAACGATATTCCTCTTCAACGATCTCATTCTGTTGGCCGGTGAACGAAAAATGATCGGGCTCTACAAATATCGTCTGAGAGCGGTGTTCCATGCATGCCACACTCAGGTGAGTTAGAACTCTTTCCGAGCTTCGAAGTACCACAACCATACCGTAACCATACCGTAATCCCATTGTTTGAGATATGCGAAGGTGACAATCTTGAGAGGGAGCACTCATTCTACATAAGAGGCTCCGACGGCAATGGACCACAACGATGTGTTGAACTGTTCTCAGGTTGGTCTCCAATTCAGATAAATAGTTTGAGTTCAGATAAATAGATGATATACTTGTTAGAGACGCAGGGTGTCCATAAAACATGATGGAATCCCCTACACTGCTGAACCAGCCACTTACTCTCTCTCTCCGCAGGGGGCCAAAGGGTGTCTATTCCAGTTAGGAGGGGGCATCATGATGCAGTTTCTCGGCGAACTAGTGTGAACTCGAACATTCCAGCTTTTCACGCATGTCAAGTGACTGCCCTCACCCCCACCCCCTAGACTGGCTACACTCCCCTGGCTCGGAGTTACCGTAGCTTTCTGGAAAAACATCATGATGTCCCCTAACTGGAATAGACCCTGTATTGCTGCCGTATGCAGCAAATTCCAGCAGAAGATAGGGACAGGGAGATAACTCCTTATCTTCTGCTTTTGTAACAGCCGGCTCATCTTCTTGGGATTACTAAGGAGTGGGTGTCCCAGGTCACTGAGCCGAGAACTGCAAATGGAATCCCTCCAAAGTACCCTTTCCAAAAGTCATTTGCCTTTACTTTTTTGTACGTACAAATATTTCGTACGGGTAATGCGCCCTAAGAGAATGTTGAAAAACTATTAAGATTTGGAGGATTTCTTCCCTTCCTTTGACCTGGTGACCAGGAAACGCCGCATATGAACCAATCCTGTTTAATGTTAACCTACCCATGGCAATATTAAATAAAATTTATTGGTTCCCTTGGAGATCTAGTGAATACGGCCTATTCAATTGAATTTCGTGTTTGTAATCGTTTCTCTCCGAAATACGACCACTGTAGAATACGTTCCATTCAAAACTTGACTGCAGACTTGAGTGGCCAATCAGTCTGCTGCCATGCGGCTTTTTAGAAAAGGGTGGTTGAAAAATACAAGCATGCATCACTTCTTTCTTTTCTATTCTCTTCTATTCTTTCTACCAGTGAACTTCTCTCCTTTTTCGTCGCTTAAGATTAGGCTTGCTCTTGATACCTACTCCGAACCCGTGGCTTCAAGCTTCCAAACTGAACTTTTATTTCATCAAAACATTGAAACGTCCGGTACAAACAACTTTGCAATTCTGTACATCGCCTTGATCTTCCTGTGCGGCATAAAAAATGCTGTCCCAATCACAACATGCCGCATATCGTTCTAGTTGCCGCGCATCGCGGGCGCGCGCGACCCATGGCGATCCATTTGTCACACACCCCGCGGCACGGAGGTGGCGTCACGCGATTTAGCTTAAGCATGTTTCTGTCGGTTTTTCACTTCT